CGGGGGGGGGGGGCAGAGGACATCTTCATAGAGCATTGTTCTGGAGCATGCTGTTACTACTTCATCAAGGGGAAAAGGTAGCATTTTCCCCCCCAAGGGTAGTCAGAGAAAGATAGCTTCGATGGATATATTTACTTAGAGAACAAAATTAAACTGAAATCCACGGATTAGGGCCATGTACAGAGGAGGGAGCTCTTTGTACAAACTTGGGGGAATTCCCAGTTTGCAGACAAACTTTAAATTGTAGGAGACGTGAGAAATAACGTGTTTCAAAATGCCAAAATCTCAAAATTTCCAGAGGATCTCGGCAGCTATTTTGGATTACCTGGATAACTATGGTAATCCAAAATGGCTGCTGCAGAGTCATCTCAGCACTGGAGGTGAGCTGGAGACTGAAAGAGTGGGCAATCAATCAACACAAGGCAAGAAGGAAGATGAGGTGAGTGGAAGGAAAGAAAAACGGAGCAGAAGGCAGGTGGCAATGTGTACCGGCTGGAGTCAAGAAAGCGGGAAAAACAGAAAAGCTACAAGGAGGAAAGAAGGAAGAACAGGAGGAAAAATGGCTGATGGGGAAATGTGACAGGTCTGTGTGAGGGAGGGAAGGAAGGAAGCAGGAAAAGGAGTAAAGCAACGGAGGCCGTGGTGGGCCTGGGAGCAGGGAAAATGGAGATGGGGGGAGGAGGTTCCCCGTGCAAGGCCCCCTCAACCTCTCCATATATTTGTCAGTTCAACACACTGGGTGAAAACTATTAACAAACCTCTTCCATAAATGAATGTTATTCTCACTCAAGGAAAATATTCGTATGAGCCACTTGTTGCCAAAAGGGTGTAATTGGAAACTCTGGGTCAGGCCTAATCATGTCAGCAGCAAGGCCTTTAAGACCTAGTGGAGCAGTCACGTACTCATGCAAGCTTTGCACATGCCCTGTGGTGCAGCAAGTATTGGACAATCAGCTTCTGCCACAATAGCTTTAACTGCAGTCAGGTCTTCCAACTAGGGTTGCCAAGTCCTTACTGTATGTACAGCGGGGGACTCCAGCACCGCAATTACGTCACCCGGAAGTGACGCAACCACGTCGGGCATGCCGGGGGTGGGGCCACAATCATCCGAGGGAAAACCATAGTTTTTCCTCGGATGACCGCGGCCCCGCCCCCAACCCGCCTGACGCAACTGCGTCACTTTCGGGTGACGTGCTGACGCCGGGCACGTCGCGTGCTTTGGGGGTGGGGTTCCCCCGGGGCCCGATCCGCCACCGGCGGATAACGGGCCTCTCGGGCGGGAGGTTCCCCGCCCCCTGGGGGGACTTGGCAAACCTACTTCCAACCCACACACACTAAATAATCCACTTTCAATCCACTTTCCAACTGCATTTTGCCAATTCACACAGTAAAAATCCAGTTGGAAAATGCACTGAAAGTGGATTATTCAGTATGTGTGACTGCAGCCCAAGTAAGGTAACGTTGTGAAATCTATGCAGGAATTGGCTGTAAGGGACCTGGATATGAAGTCTTATATAAGCTTTGTAAGTGCGCCACATGGGGTCTTTTGAACTCTGTTTTATAGACCCGTCCATACATAAAAACGGTCTGTATTTGTAAGAATCTTTTAATACTTTTAATAAAATCTGTCTCAGTATTTCTGTGGGAGTTGGTTGTTTCCAGATTCAACCGATGAGGTAACCCAGTGTGCTAAAAATTTTTAGAACAAGGGTTAAGTAACTCTGGATTCCAAAGTATCCTCACATAGATTTGCATGCAATGTCAGTTCTTTCCTCCACCTGGAACTTGGAAGTTATCTGCAGGGGTGGGGATGAGGGATCATATTTTTCATTTTAAAGCTCATCTCGGGAATATTCAAGCAACTGTAGGAGACCACTTGATTTTTGGTCTTTTCCATTTTCAAAGAGTTCCTTCCACAACAGGTGTCAACAGAAATCAAAGTCAGTATTGGTTTTCCTTTCACACCTAGGAACTCTACCCAGAAGTGTAATACATGGAATAACTGTTTGGTCTTTTCCACACCAAAGAGCTTGCAATAGAAAACAAAATGAAAGTGGATGCAGAAAAGCAAACTATTGAAGGAAAAGGACAGAAAGTTATTGAAGATCAAGAAACAGAGGTAAATTTTGGGGTAAATTTGTTGGGGAAAACTTACATGCAAAGGGTTCCACTTCCCAGCCTTCAAAGGCAGCACAAAGAAAACAACCAAGAAGGTTAAGAAATATTGCATCTTGTTTGGTGACAGATGAGTGGCTATTGCGGAAATGCAGCCTTGAGACACCACATGGGCAACCGTCAGGCTTCCGTTCAAAAGGGGCTGGGGATCAGACCTGCATGGAGGCCACCCAACATTGATCTGAGAGCCTCATGTATTAATCCCCATTGTCAAAAGTGACTTGTGGTTTTGTATTCTGGAAATGCTCAGAGCTGAATTGCATACAGTATTTTTAAGGTACGCTGGTAAAACATTTTGCATGTCAAAATATAATCCATAAATGTGCATAAACATGCAAACTGTGCCAGTATTCCTGTGAGGGAGTTGGAACTGGGACCACCTAGGCTTGTGACTGTAGGCCCCGTCTGTGGCCCTCAGAAACCAGTGCCTCCCGATAGAGAACAGAGGCCCCACAGACAATCTAATACAAGCATAAATTGAACCTGCATTCATGTTTGGTTCAAGAGGGGTATCAGGGCCAAACAACACATGCCACTTGGGACCTCTTTTTGGACTCTCTGTTTAGCCACAAAAAGCCGTTGGGGGGAAAAGCCAACCAGGATTAGGGCTGTGGGGTGGGGAATGGAGTTTATCTATTTCCCTACCTGTACCCTTTCCCCCAGCTGAAAATGCCCTTTCCAGTACTTTTATTAACCATGATGGAAGGGGGAGGGTACCAATATTGCGTCTTTTTTCTGCGCCCTCCCTCCAACAGCAGCTTCCTGAAGCCAAACCACACACTGGGTGATCTAATCATGGACTTCCAAAGTCATAAGCGGTCTCATTCTCTGGTGGTGCTTAATGCGGCTCATTCCAATGCACAACAACACAACTCTCGGATGCAGCTGGCATTCCAAAATGAATCATTTCACACACAAAGAGTACTTAATTTGTAAACCAAAAGCAATAAAAAAAGTTGTAAAACTGGATTTTGTTCTCTTACCTTGCCTTTAGAAATCGCTCTATACGCTGTTTTTACTATTAGGTAAGACCAAAAACAGTGGAGGACTTGAAGGACCAGAAGTAAAATGACAAAGATTGACAAGGCAGGAAAGCTGCCGATCACTTCAGGAAGTTCAAATATTACTGTGTTCAATATCCTGATAAGAAAGAGAGAAGAGAGGTCAGAATGGAAGTACAGACAAATGGTTCACCTACTGGAGTTGATCCCCCCCCCCCACACACTCCAGTTATTACTTGTGGAAGCAACACAGCATGCAAGCTAGTAGCTCATGGATCTCACCCACACAAAACATTCTCTGTGATGTACCTACCAAAAAAAGGCTTCAGCGCCAATACAAAGATTCTGCACATTTGTCTCAAAAACTACAATTCAACACAGTGCTTTTTTACTCTCCATTTGGGCTTCATGCGAAACCTTTTGTCGAGCTGTAGCTGAATGGACATGGATGAACATTTGTCTTTTTTGCAGTTTAGTGTTCCGGGGTCCAGATCTGGCAGTGCTGCTGCTTTTTATGTCCTTATTCCCACAGGTAGAGGTTAAGTGCACGGACTCAAATCTGGGAGAACCGGGGTTTGATTCCCCACTCCTCCACTTGCAGCTGTTGGATGACCTTGGGCAAGCCATAGTTCTGTCAGAGCTGTTCTCTCAAGGACAGTTCTGGAAAGAAACTCTCTCAGCCCCACCTATCTCACAGGGTGTCTGTTGTGGGGAGAGGAAGGGAAAGGAGTTTGTAAGCCGCTCTGAGTGAAGGGCAGGGTATAAATCCAATCTCTTCTTCTTCTGCATATATTGAGGAGTCTAGAAGGACTCCTTTTCCCTGATCATTTTGCAGGACTGGTTGTTTTTTAGAATTGTCCTTTGACTTCTTCTCAGGAAACAATGAGCTCGCTCCAGGTTCCTGGCATGCCACAAAACATTACCAAGAATACTTGACATGTCTTCTCTCTGTACCAAGACAGAGTAACTTTTTTTTTCTTGAAGAGGCGGCTGTTTTGTTTCAAATGCTTAAGAGTGAACAATAATAAGTCAACAGTTCAATAATGTGGCAATAAAAACCAGTCATGGCTGTTTTAATTTCAGTGTTATTTATCGGCACCTCTTACTGAGAGCCAGTTTGGTGTAGTGGTTATGTACGCAGACTCTAATCTGGGAGAACCAGGTTTGATTCCCCACTCCTCCACTTGCAGCTGCTGGATGACCTTGAGCAAGCCACAGTTCTGTCAGAGCTGTTTTTGAAAGAGCAGTTCTCCAAAGATCTCTCTCAACCCCACCTACCTCACAGGGTGTCTATTATGGGGAGGGGAAGGGAAAGGAGTTTGTAAGCCTCTCTGAGACTGAGTGAAGGGCGGGGTATAAATCCAATCTCCTCCTCCTCTCATTGAATAATAAATCTCAAATGATGACACGAATTAAAGAGAGGGGAAGACCTCCCTAAAATCTCACTGATTTATAAGTTTACTAGGAGGGAAGTCTGTTGTAGGGAGAAGACAACGGGTGCTAGAAAGAAAGCGGGGGCCCGTCCCGCGCTCCCCCCCCGCAGACCCTGGGGTCGGTGGGCAGTGACTGACTTCCTGGGCGGCTGCGGCCAGAGGCCTCCGGGCTGCCTTGACAGCCGTGCACCCCAACAGCGTGCCAGTCCCCTTCCACGCGCAGGCTGTCCACTGGCGTGCCTTGGTGGGCTAGTACGGTTATGGTGACAGCAGGCCCAGGCTCATCCAGATGAACCCGCGGCTCGTGAAGGGGCCTGGTTGCCCGTCACATCAGATCGAAGTGAGGCCCTTCCGCCTGCTTCCCCCCCCCCCCAGACCCCAGTGGCGGCAGGAGTGGGCTCGGACCAACGACGCAGACCCTGGGGTCGGTGGGCAGTGACTGACTTCCTGGGCGGCTGCGGCCAGAGGCCTCCGGGCTGCCTTGACAGCCGTGCACCCCAACAGCGTGCCAGTCCCCTTCCACGCGCAGGCTGTCCACTGGCGTGCCTTGGTGGGCTAGTACGGTTATGGTGACAGCAGGCCCAGGCTCATCCAGATGAACCCGCGGCTCGTGAAGGGGCCTGGTTGCCCGTCACATCAGATCGAAGTGAGGCCCTTCCGCCTGCTTCCCCCCCCCCGCCCCAGACCCTGGGGCTGTGCTGCAATGCGGTGGCCTCCGGGCTGGCTTAATTGGTCTTCGGCCGGGCGGCGCACCAGCCCCCGCCTGCTCGCAGCCTGGTCACTGACGTGGCTCGGGCCTCGGCGGCCCATGACGGCTGTGCCGGCAGCAACAGGAGCGGGCTTGGGCCGACGACCTAGCAGGTGGTGAAGGGGCCGGGGTGCCCATTGCATCAGAGGAAAGCGAGGCCCATCCCCCCTTTCCGCCCTCCTCATACCGCTGGGCCCTGCTGCGTCCAGCGGCCTCCAGGCTGCCTCAATGGCTCTTTGCCTCAGTGGTGCGTCAGCCCCTGTCCGCTCGCAGGCTGTGCACCAAGTCAGCCGAGCGTGACGACAACCAGTCCGGGGGTGGGAGGAAGGGGCTCAGCCAAGTGTCCAGCTGCCGACCGCACATTCCGTCTGGCGGCTCCGTGCATACTGAGGGCAAGCTGGTGGCTGGGGCTTGTGTGGGCAGCACCTTTGGAATGGCAGTTCAGACGGCCAACTGATTTTGGCGTGAATAGAACTTTGCCACCCCAAATCGCTTTTATTAATAAGGAGAGATAATACCGAATGTAACCACTAGATGGCAAGTTTATCAAGTTTCCCCCCCATTATTCTATGCTGCACTGAGCTCCCAGCTGTAAAGCTTTGGACACTGGTTGGTTGAGCTATGTTCAAGCATTTATGGGGGAAGAACACTTTGGTAATCCAGTTTCTGTGAGGAAAAGGAAAACTGTCAATTTAGCTGGGACTAAACCTTACACAGCAGATAGGGGAGCACTGGGAACAGTGGTTTCAGGGCACGTGGTGGTAACAAGTTTTGCTCAAGCTGATCTGTGCCTATGTGGTCTGATCAGTGCCTACATGGGAGCCCTGCGGTGGAAGCTTCCTTGAGTTCCGTGATGAAGGAAAGGAGGGATATAAGTGGAACCCCCAGAAACCCAGAGGCAGGGAGGCTCCTGGAAGTTTCAGTTTTTCCCATAGAGAAACTGAAAATTTTAGAGACCACTGGAAGTAAAAAAACAAAAACAAAACTCTCAATTATTTTTCTTTCTCTTTTGGAATGTGTGAAATGCTTTGCAAATTTTACTTACCATGCTATGATTTTTTTAATGCAAGACAACATATACTATTAGATCATTCATGGCTATTCTGTAGACATATACAACACATATATTTTCAAGGACATATTTATTGTTCAAATGGGACTAATTTTGTCCAGGCCTAATACGCTATAATGTGGATGATGATAATATACCATTATTTATTGACTCCATTTATACCCTGCCTTTCTCCCCAGTGGGGACCCAAGTGGGTTACACCGTTCTCCTCTCCTCAGTTTTATCCTCACAACAGCCCTGTGAGGTAGGTTAGGCTGACAGCGACAGTCACACAACCAAGGTCAACCGGCAAGCTTCCATAGCAGAGTGGGGATTCAAACCTCGGTTTCCCAGATCCTAGTCCAACACTCTAATAACTAATACCAAACTGGCTCTTGAGTGCTGACTTGTCAGCCGGATATGTTGCTAGCCCTGTTGTGATTTGTAGGTCTGTTGCTGTCCAAAAAACACATTTCATGTGCAACATCAATGGTTTTTTAATTTTCACATTTTATTTTTTCAGCAGATGGCAGAAACTGAGATGCACATGCTCAAGCAAGATGGAAAAATTTGCAGCCAGCACTCTCTCTCTTTCTCTCTCTCTGTTACACACACACACACACACACACACAAACACACGAACACTGGAAAAAAGGAACTTGGTCTGGTAGAGAAGGGCACAGGAAGTGGAGAACTGATGCAAGAAGTGACAGAGAAACCTCCAGAGAAACTTCACAGCATTTAAGAAGAAGAAAGGCAGTCCGGTCTGGGAAGTGGGAGAGAAGAGGAGGGTTGCCAGGTCCGGATTGGAAAATACCTGAAGACTTTCGGGGTGGAGCCAAGAGAGGGTGGGATTTGGGGAGGGGAAGGGAGGGGCCTCAACATAGTACAATGCCGTAGAGGCCACCCTTCAAAGCAGCCATTTTCTGCAGGGGGAGCTGACCCCTGTCAGCTGGAGATCCGTTGTAAAAGCGGGAGATCCCCAGGCCCCACCTGGAGGATGGCAACCCTAGAGAAAAGTGGTTTGGAAGTGGGAAGTGACAGGGAGCCGAGAGAGGTGGGAGAAAGCAGAAAGCAGAAATGAAAGATAGAAGTAGCTGAAGCTCAAGGAGGGCCACGGCAAAACCTGTCGGGAGTTGCGCCACTTGTCCGTCCTCCAGTGGCTCCACAAGCTCTGCTCAGACATAAATTTTAAAAACTGTCATCAGTGTTACCCTGGGACATCAGTGGGCCCCCCAGGAATAAGAGATTGCAGAACAAGACAGGAGGAGATGAAGGGAGGCCGTGGTTTCCGGGGAACCTAACTCCAGCCCTGATCACCCTCTTTTGCTGGAACGGTGACTCCCACCCTGGCTGCAGCAGGAGCCGCAGTGGTGGCAGCTTCAGGCAGAGCTGCACGGCCTGGCCCACTGACTTGCATCACTTGGAGGAGGACCTGCCTTTTGTTTTGATCACGTTTATCTTTGAGAAGCTGCCTGCTCCGTGCTACCGAGAGGAGACTTCTGTTCATGGTCTTAAAAGGATAATCAAAGCTTAGATCAAACAAGCCACACAGCAGAGACAGGTCCTGGGGCTGTCAATGCGTAGTTTTGAATACTGCTACAAAGAAGAAAGCAAATTTCAGATTTTTTTTTTTTTTTTGACTGGGTGTCCTGAAAAAGAAGATGGGCATCAGATGCTCCCATAGCTACAGATGGTGCCATCGGCATGCAGGTGAATTCAACCAGCAAGCCATCTAACAGATCTTCTGGTGGAAACAGAACGTTCAGAGTTCTGATAAAATTTACTGCAGAGCAACAACATGCATTTTTCCTCCCTTTGTTTCTGTCTCTACTATTTTTCCATTCATTATTTCCCCCCGTAATTTTGTTCATAAGTTTACTGCAGCTCCTGGCTTCTGCCCAGAT